CGATCATTAGATTCCAACTTACTTACTTACTTACGCCTGTTACCCCCAATGGAGCATAGGCTGCACACCAGCAGCATTCTCCAACCAACTCTGTACTGGGCTTCTCTCTCCAGTTCTGTACAATGTTTGTTCATTCCTCTAATATCTTTCTCTATTTCTCGGCGTAATGTGTTCCTTGGCCTTCCTCTTTTCCTTTCACCTTGAGGGTTCCATGTGAGGGCTTGTCTCGTGACGCAGTTAGGTGCTTTCCGCAATGTGTGTCCTATCCACTTCCACCGCTTCTTCCTGATTTCCTCCTCCACTCGAATCTGGTTTGTTCTCTCCAACAGTAAGTTGTTGCTGATCGTGTCTGGCCAACGAATCCGAAGTATTTTGCGTAGACAGCTGTTAATAAACACTTGCATCCTCTGGATGATGGCTTTCGTAGTTCTCCATGTTTCCGCTCCATACAATAAAACTGTCTTCACATTTGTATTGAAAATCCTGATTTCGGTTTCGGTTGAAAGTTGTTTGGTGTTCCAGATATTTTTCAACTGTAGAAATGCATCCCTTGCTTTGCCAATCCGTGCCCTCACATCTGCATCCGATCCACCTTTCTCGTCGATGATGCTGCCAAGATATGTAAAGGTGTTGACGTCCTCCAAGGCATCTCCATCAAGAGTGATTTGGTTGGTGCATGTTGTGTTGCATCGGAGAATTTTGCTTTTTCCTTTATGTATGTTGAGACCTACTGCTGCAGAGACTGCTGCTACACTGGTCGTCTTCTCTTACATTTGTTGTTGCGTGTGCGATAGAAGAGCCAGATCATCTGCGAAGTCCAGATCGTCCAGCTGCGTCCTAATTGTCCAGTTGATACCATGCTTCGCTCCAGATGCTGACATCTTCATAATCCAGTCGACGACCAGGAGAAAGAGAAAGGGTGAGAGTAATCAACCTTGTCTGATACCGGTCTTCACCTAGAACGAGTCTGTTAGCTGTCATCCGTGCACGATTTTGCAGTTGAATCTATCATAAGAAGTCCGTATGATGTTAACTATTTTCTCAGCCACACCGTAGTGTCGAAGAAGCCTCCACAGTGTTTTCCTATCCACGCATTAGATTCCAACACAGTAGTCTAAATGTATCATTCACATTTAAAGAATTTCCTGAATGCAGGAAATGACAATCCCAAAGGAATCAGCCTAACTAATCTTATATCGAAAATATTGGCTGACGCTTAACGGAAGCCCATAAAGAGGAGGCTAAAGAAAGCCAGGCTGGTTTTCAACCAGGACGTGGATTTATGGACCATTTTCACATAACCTCAGGTCCTAGAACAAAGACATGTTCAAACGTCTTCTGACTACGCTGAGCAACAATGCAAGCATATTCGGGATGCGATTTTACCCCTCGAAATTCAAAATGTCGCTTCAATATTGGGTTATGTCAGCACCTGAACTAGTGATAGGGAGTGAAGCAGTTGAGCATGTTGATCGCTTCACTTATCTCGGTAGTCTTATCAGTGCTGACGAAATCTCAGCACGGATACAGACGGCTCGAACGGCTTCTGACAGCCCTCATCACTTATGGTGTAGTCGAGATATCCGTCAACTGACCAAAGGACGGTGGAACTGCGCAGTAGTTCGCTCCGTTTTACTATATGGATGCGAAACATGTCCGTTAAGAGTAGAAGACATTCGTAGGTTACTAGTATTACATCATAGATGTCTCCGAAGCATCGCTCGTATTTCCTGGGTCGGCCGAGTAATCAATTCTGTCGTTACGAAACGCGTACTAGGTAAGGATGGCAGATCAATTGATGAAGTAATGAAACTTCATCAGTTGAGGTGGTTGGGATATGTGTTACAAATGCCCAACCACCGACTGCCTCAACCAGCTATGTTTTATGGTGTAGTAGGTTGGAATAAATCTAGGGGTGGCCAAACCAAAACATGGCACGAATCCTCGAAGTCACTAACAAGTGGAATTAGTCATGTTGGTAGATATAGGCTACCTGGTTGGGGTCCGCGAGACGAAAGTCACGAATGGTTAGAGACATTGAATGATACGGCTGAAAACCGTTTGCAATTGAGAAGGTGCATCCACTCTTTGTGTTCTCTCTAATTCTAATTTTCTGCATTCCTCATTATCTCAACCTATCTACTTCTAAATTTATCTTACTGAATTATACTTCTCGAATAATATCTTCGATCCCTAATATTCTCCATTAAAGCTAATTCTTCTGCAATTAATATCAGTTAGTGATAAAAACCAACTTTACATTAAAATATTCCGGTGAATTGCCAATCTTAATCAACCTGAAAATTATTTGCATCGTTATTTTCAAATTTAACAAAAATTATTCTCAAGGTAACTATGTTCACGATGATAGCACAGTTTTTGTTTACCTCTGGAAAAAATTCTTCGAATAGTTTTATAAATGAAGTCACTGACAAGTGGACTGAGTCATATTAGTAGATGTAGTCTATCTGGTTGGAGTCGGCGAGACGAAAGTCACCAATGGTTAGAGACCTTGAACGACATGGCTCAAAATCGTTTGCAATGGCGCAAGTGCATCCATTCATTGTGCTCTCTCAAATCCTAATCTTCTGGATTCGTCAGCACCTCTACCTTTGTCTTTCTAACCTTATCTCACTGAATTATATTTCTTGAATAATATCTTCGAACCCTAGTCTTCTTTATTACCATTAATACCTCTACTATCTTTATCACTACGGGATTCGATTTGACATTTGCGTCTCTGTGCTAATGTGGTATGGCAATCTGAACTTATGTGCATACGTACGATGTTCTACGTTGAAACTGACTGATTGGTGAGAGTCGGCTCTTCTTCTCCAAATGCTCTCACATAGCAACGTGTATATAACCATTCTCAAAGGAAGTTATATTCACTGCCTTTTAAATTCCTGTTACCTTAAGAAACATAGAATTTTTTAACCAGTAGTTGAGTACGTCGACCAATTTACTTTTCTTGGGAGTTTAAACCAAACCTGGTAAGTTGTCATTCAGAGAAATCTTAACACATCTGGAATTGACGACTGGCTTTTATCAACCTGTGGTGCGTTGTCTTTGATACACTGTTGATGTGTGTTTGGACCACTGAGCGAGGAATAATGAGGTCAGTCAATGGATATTAGTTAATAAAGTATGTTGAAAAGAAACATGCGGTGACCACATCAAAATGCGACATTAACAAAATGAATTTACTGAATGATTTAAGTAATGTCAGCAGGTGCAGACCGCGTGGTTCGAGAGATAGGATGAACATGTTCTAAACTCCTGTCACAATAGTACAGGTGCATCCACTGTTTGTGTCTTTATATACCTTCAATTTCATTCAAACAAAGCTCCACCATAATTATCTTCACTTACTAACGCCTGTTACTCCCAATGGAGTATAGGCCGCCCACCAGTACTCCCCAACCTACTCTGTGCTCCGCCTTCCTTTCCAGTTCTGTCGAAGTTCTATTCATTTTTCCCATATCTTTCCCTATTTCCCGACCTTCCCCCTTCTCCGCTGTCCTTGAGGACTCGAAGTTAGGACTTATCTTGTGATACAGTCGGATGCTTTCCTCAATGTATGTCCTATCCACCTTCACCGCTTCTTCCTGATTTCCTCCTCAACTGGAATTCAGTTTGTTCTCTCCCACAATAGGTTGTTGCTGATAGTGTCTGGCCAACGGATCCTTAGTATTTTGCGTAGACAACTGTTAGTATGTTCATTCAATATCCTAAGAGAATTGTTTGTAAGTCTAGTTCTATTGGTCGATTCCTACTGGTCAATATTATGGTCGTCCTAGCTATCAATGTCATTTCAAATGTTGTTTCCTATTGGTCGTCCTAACTGCCAATGTCACAGACTTCAACGTTGTTTCCTATTCTACCCAACTGTATAAATAGGCATTATCTATAACGTTTTATGACCCGTATCTCTATTCCCTTCTGGACTCGGACCCCGTACTTTCTGGATGTTTGTAGAATACAGGTTCTACTCCACATCAAGTCTTCTTACTTTACTCAATGGAGTTTTGGGATAATCGGATTAGAGTAGCATGTCGTGTCGCCGGGATCCTCACTCTCGTTTTCCGACTAAGATAAAATCGTAATCGTTCAAAAGCATATCAAATGACATATTTACATGCATGCATAACAACAACCGTTAATGAATACTTATACCTTCTAGATGATAACGTTGGTATTTCTCCAAGTTTCCGTTCCATACAATCATCATCTCCCAATGAGATACTAATTTTCTCTACCATCACAAAAGGAGTATACATTCTTAAATCAAAAACACAGTTATTATTCATAAAAAGAGTCATTAAGTTGAACTGAATTCTTCAAAAGCTTTTATTTCAATCACAACTCATCAATATTATTATTGTTATGATTATCATCATCATCATCATAGAAGCGCGATCAACACAAGGAATAAGAGAGAAGAGAAAAAAGAATTCTCATTTGCACTAATAATAATTATAATAATAAAAGCCAAGCTAAACAAAACAATCTTTATCGATTTTGCGTTTGATGATAAATAAACAAATTAAATAACAGAGGAGAAGAGAACAGAAGAGAAGAAGAAAAACAAACGACACCTTTTATTGTATTTTGAAGTGAAGTAATCAAATCAAATCAAAATAAAATAAAATCAAATAATAATACACTGAGATACAGATTGATTTTTACAGTCTCAGTCTTGTAAACAAAAATGAAAAAAAACTCAACATTGCCAGAGTTGTGTGTGTCTTTTATGTGTGGGAGGGGAGCAGTGGTGAAGGAGGGAAAACAAAGAGCCGATACAAACAAACCAGCAAACAAACACAATGGAAAAAGCACAAGAAATCAAAATTTCGAATCTGGGAAAAATGTTCCACAATGAGGAACGATATGGATTGATTATTGATCAGTTCATTATCTATGTATATATTTAAATATATATATCTGGTCGATTAACAGTGGAACATTTAACTGAATTCAATCAAACAACAACGACCTAAAATTATAATAATAATAATAATCTGAACAGAATTTAAGAAGAATAACCCAATTGAATGTGTTAATTAATTAGTGATCAATTGAAATTCTTGTTCAATAATTGTGACAACTCACAATTGAACACATTGTACATACATACATGTATATTATTAGATTAGATTAGATTAGAGGCGATAATTACAACAGAAGATAAGAGAAGATTACAAATAATTGTTTTTTTTTTTGATGAACTGTTTACTACAGTAAAAGGAGATTAGATGAATTGAATTCATGAAAGACATGACGGTTATTTCATACACTGTAAACTGAACGCGATAAAATATACATGTATATATATATATAAATATTTATATATTCTTTGATGTATACAAATACACTATGATGGAGAGATAGAAAGAGAGAGTGAGGACGGCCGCACACATGAAACAAACATAGAAACCGTAACACCAACAGGGAGGGCAATAATAAATGAAAAAAGGGGAAACTAGTAGTAACAGTAGAAGAATTTTAAAATTTAGACAATACAGTCTCAAGAAATACCATTAATAAGGGTAGAAATAATATAATGAATAGCCAAATTAATTGAGTCAACATTCGAGGATGGATAAAAGTTCTTAGCCAATTAATAGTAGCAGTAGTAGTAGTAGTATTGTGATACGTTGAATTGATTAGACCACGTGACAATTTACCAACAGTTGTATACGTTGGACCATGATGCCATTTCACAAGACGATCAACACTAACACTAACCAAATCGAATGAATCCGATTTTAAAGTGTTCAATGATTGGAATTTTTCCATTGTTGTTCTTCTCACTGGCAAACATGCATTATCTTCACGTAGAAAAGTTAATGCCGTAACAAATATTGGATGTGCATTGTTTAGGGTGTAAATATTCAATAAACAATGATTTGTTGGTGATAAACTAAAACAATTGGAAAATAAAATACGAAAATAATATTAGGAAAATGATAACTGTAGTGAAATAATTGTTGTGTATATAAACATGAAGGAAATTGATGAAACTTTGGTGCAACGAGGCCAGTCAACTAGCTACAATGAAGAACTTCGTACGTACATACGTATGTCAGTGCAAGTTGCCATACCATCACATTAGCATAGAGACATTTAACTGTCCCATAGTGGTAGGTGTAGTAGAAGTATTAGTGGTAATGGAGAAGATTAGGGATTGAAGATTATTATTCAACAAGTATATCCAAGTGAAATAAATTCAGAAGAGAAAGATAATGGTGAAGACCAATTCAGACGATCAGAATTTGGCAGAACATAAAGAATAGATGCATCTGCGATACTGCAAACGATTTTGAGCCATGTCATTCAAGGTCCCTGACCATCGATTATTATCATCTCGCGGACCCCAACCAGGTAGTCGACAACTACCGACATGGCTAAGTCCACTCGTCAATGACTTCATGGATTGCTGCCATGTTTTGGTTTGGCCGCCCCTAAATTTCTTCCAACCTATTCCTACACTACAAAACAAAGCTCGACGAGGCAGTCGGTGGTTGGGCATACGCAACACATGTCCCAGCCACCTCAACTGATGAAGTGTCACTACTACGTCTATTGATCTGTCATTCTTACCTAGCACCCGTGTCCTAATAACAGTTGTCCTAGGATATACGAGCAATGCTTCGAAGACACTGATGATCGAAAACCAGTAACCTACGAATATCTTATACTCTCACTGGCCATGTTTCACAGCCATAAAGTAAGACGGAGCGAACCACTGCACAGTACACTCGTCCTTTAGTCAGCAAAACGGATATCTGGCCTTCGCCATAAGTGAGGCAGGTTGGCAAAAGCCATTCGTAACACACGTCCCAACCACCTCAACTGATGAAGTTTCAATACTTCATCTACTGATGAGCCATCCGTAACTAACACATTTTCCTAGCCCCGGCATTGCCTAACCAGGATAAACAAGCAATGCTTCTAAGACACTGAGGACCGAATACCAGTAACCTATGAATATCCTCGCTTCTTACCGATTGTGTTTCACACCCGCAGTATAGGACGGAGCGAATCGTTATGCGCTAGACTCGTGCTCCTTGTTAAGAGACGGATATCTCGCCTACGTAACAAGAGAGATTTATAAAATAAATTAAGATAAATTAACAATCCATAATTCAAAACGTTACTGGACTCATGCTATAAAAAACTTGACTAACTGCACATATGGGGTTTTACAATCAACTATTAATCATGGGAATCTACTGAAATTACCTTAATATTAAGAGAGTAGTGTGCATACTAGTTTGTTCAAATAACAGGGCTTGTCTCAGCCTTAGGAACAAACTGATTAACCTTTTCTGTCTGAATCATTGTTCACTCATCTTTCAACCTTGTCAATCAATGCATGCACTAAACCGTATTGGACTTCTTTTTGTTGTAATAAGCACCAAAGTATGACATATAGAAGAGGAAAGGAAGATTTATTTCATTGCATACTCGATCATTCATCCAAACTGGAGTCATGTCGCGGGTCATAAAAATTACTTACTTACGCCTGTTACCCCCAATGGAGCATAGGCTGCACACCAGTTTTCTCCAACCAACTCTGTACTGGGCTTCTCTCTCCAATTCTGTCCAATGTTTGTTCATTCCTCTCATATCATTCTCTATTTCTCGGCGTAATGTGTTCCTTGGCCTTCCTCTTTTCCTTTTGCCTTGAGGGTTCCATGTGAGGGCTTGTCTCAAGACGCAGTTAGGTGCTTTTCGTAGTGTGTGTCCTATCCACCAACTCCACCGCTTCTTCCTGATTTCCTCCTCTACTGGAATCTGGTTTGTTCTCTCCCACAGTAAGTTGTTACTGATGGTGTCTGGCCAACGAATCCGAAGTATTTTTCGTAGACAGCTGTTAATAAACACTTGTATCCTCTGGATGATGGCTTTCGCAGTTCTCCAAGTTTCCGCTTCATACAGTAGAACTGTCTTGACATTTGTATTAAAAATCCTGATTTTGGTTTTGGTTGAAAGTTGTTTGGAGTTCCAGATATTTTTCAACTGTAGAAATGCAGCCCTCACTTTGCCAATCCGCGCCCTCACATCTGCATCGGATCCACCCTGCTCGTCGATGCTGCTGCCCAGATATGTAAAGGTGTAAGTCATAAAAATTGGTGAGCCGTAATTCGAATTTGAAACAGCCACCAGAAATACTCTCTTTATCTTCTCACATAATGAAACGTACATGCATAACTAACATGTAGTGATACAAATCTACGCGATAGTAAAAACTTACAAATACACATCAACACGTCCTTCCATAGTTCCGACTCCAATTAAACCACGTGATCGACTTGGATGAACAGCTAGACAAGCAGGTAAATGTCCTTGAGGAAAAGTAGTTTCTGCAAAAATATTCAACTGAATTGGTTGATACATTTTAATATGATTATTTGATAATGATAACGATGAAGATGAATCACAGGTTACCGTCTCTGAAGGATGCGGTACTGACCATACAACTAAACGACTAAAACTTCGACGATTAGCACACAATGGTTGAATTGTTGTGACAAGCATAGATTCAACAGTAGGATTTTTACTAATCTTTAAACCTTCCAGAGATGATGATGATGATGACGATGACGATAGGTGATTTGATGAAATTGAAGAATTGGGTGAATATTTCATAAATTGACAATGTCTAAAACGATAATGAGAACGATCAGATGAACGTTCTGATGTCTAAACAATTGTTTTTTGTTTGGAAAAGAAAAACACAGAAAGAAATTTAACAGTTAATTCAAAAAAGTAAGAAAATTACTACGGAGATACTTGTAAGACGGTAATAGTGTGATGACAAGGACAATATAACATGTCAACAGTTATGCAATAAAATACATAAGAAAAATTCTCTGCATTGCTTATTTACTTAATTACATACCTGTCGCACCTAATGGAGCACAAGAGTCAGTCAGTTGCAACGTAGAACTTCGTACGTATGTACATAAGTTCAAGTTACCATACCACATTATCACAGAGACGCAAATGTAAAATCAAATCCCACAGTGATAAAGATAGTAGAGGTATTAATGGTCACAAAGAAAACTAGGGTTTGAAGATAGTATTCAAGAAGTATAATTCAGTTAGATAAGGTTAGAAAGACAAAGGTAGAGGTGCTGACGAATCCATAAGATTAGGATTTGAGAGAGCTCAACGAATGGATGCACTTGCGCCATTGCAAACGATTTTGAGCCATGTCGTTCAAGGTCTCTAACCATTGGTGATTTTCGTCTCGCGACCCTAGAATCTATTGCTAGCAACCTTTCATCTGTTCTATATAAATTTGTGTCATAATGGCTATAGTTAGGCGATTAACATACACAACTAAGAATGGATTGATTAAAGCTAGACATTAACACCAACTGGATGCCGACTGCAGTGGTCAACAGGTTAAATGTTCGTCCGCGTTAGATTCAAACTTGCGCAGTCACGGATGTGCACTGTTGGTGAGTTCTATACTAGAACCAAATGACCGTTCAGTACTTCCAAGTTCCTAGTGTTGGTCTAAAATTGATCGGTTCATGGATTCAGCAACCACAGCTGCTACCTTGACTTGATGATTAGGCTTGCCTTTCATGATGACCCAACTAAGCTCTTAATAACTCTGTTACCTCCACAATCAGCCCTTCTCACATTCCTTCATCACCTGTCGCCGCTGATGCAAACGAGTCGGGAACACAAAATGCTATGCGTAGTCTCGTGAAACCCCGTTCTAAACTATATGTTGGAGTTTTTAATGTTCGGACCCTGTGTTAAATAGGACAACAAGCTTTCTTAGCTAGGACTCTGGAATCTCACACCCTCAATGTTAGGATTCGAGTATATATAGGATTCGAGTACAGTGATATATATGACTTCACCATGTCGAAATAAATAACCATCTCTATTTACGCTTCATGTATCTGGAAGCCCTGACACTGGTTCCCTTGGCCTCGCTGGTGTACGTGTAAAATTAAGTTCTAAAGCAGAACTATCTCTCTTAGACTGGATCCCAATAGTTAGTCACTTATGCGCTGTCCAACTAAACGAGACAATAAGGACTAGTAAAAACAGGCACCACTTGCCGTTGCCTCACCGCTGTCACCACCTACGCTCGTACGTACGAAGTCCTACGTTGTAGCTGACTGACTGACTCAGTGATTCATGATTTCAATAAAACTGATCGATATTTTGGGGCACAGTTTTGGAGGTTTGCGATTTTTTACACAATAAAACAAAAATAACAATTTTTAATAATCACTTACTACTACTCCTGCTGCTGATGCTGAAGTTGCCGCTGCTTTATTCGTTGGTGAAGGTGGTGGTGTTGTTGATGAAGTACCCCCACTGGATGATGATGATGATGAACTATAAGTAGCAATAGCATACGGATACTTTTCCATTGATTGACTAAATAAAATTTCATCTTGAATTTTAAGTGAATTATTATTATTATGATTATGATTATTATTGTTATTATCATGATTGAAATTTGCCAAGAAAGTTTTCATACGAACACCTCGTTCATGATTAGTAGTTCGTTTTGAAATGGCAGTTTTTAATTTGATCGGTTGTTGTTGTTGTTGAGCATTGAATGTTGAATGTTTTGTTTTAATATCATTTGAAAGTGGAAATGATTTTGAACTATGATTCTGATGATGATGATTATTACTATTGATACACCATACTCGTAATGTACTCCAATCAGGTCGATCACATATTGTAGCCAATAAAGGATAAGAGGTGGAATTATCTTGTTTATAGGTATAGGTATGTGAAAAAGCCATACTACAAACACCAGTTGATAAACCGCCACTAACATCCGGATATAGAATTAATGACTGGAGAGATGAGAGATGTGAAAGAAAACAAAAGTGAGAATAACAATAAAAGCATTTGTTATTATTATTATTATTACTAAGTCAGTTAGTTAGTTACAACGTAGAACTTTGTACGTACGTACATCAGTTCACGTTGAGACACTGGCCACCACAATATTATTCAACCAGTATATCCAAGTAAAATTAACTTAAAACCAGAAAGATAGAGGTGATGAGGAATTCCGAAGATTACGATTTGTCAGTCAGTCAGTCAGTTGCAACGTAGAACTTCGTACGTAAGTACATCAGTTCATGTCGCCATACCACATCAACACAGAGATATAATTGTCAATACAAATCCAATAGTAGAAGAGGTAGTAAAGGTATTAGAAGTAATCGGAGAGGTTAGAATTAGAAGATATTATTCACGAAGTAAGATGCAATGAGATAAGCTTAGAAAGTAAAAACTAGAGGTGTTGAAGAACCCAGAAGATTAGGATTTGAGAGAACACAAAGAATAAATGCACTGGCGCCATTGCGAACGATTTTGAGCCATGTCATTCAAGGTCCCTGACCATCGATTATTATCATCTCGCGGACCCCAACCAGGTAGTCGACAACTACCGACATGGCTAAGTCGACTCGTCAATGACTTCAAGGATTTATGCCATGTTTTGGTTTGGCCGCCCCTAAATTTCTTCCAACCTATTCCTACACTACAAAACAAAGCTCGACGAGGCAGTCGGTGGTTAGGCATACGCAACACATGTCCCAACCACCTCAACTGATGAAGTTTCATTACTTCATCGATTGATCTGCCATTCTTACCTAGTACCCGATTCCTAATAACAGCGTTGCTCACTCGGGTGTCCCACGATATACGAGCAATGCTTCGAAGACACCTATGATCGAAAACCAATAACCGACGAGTATCTTCTACTCTCATTGGCCATGTTTCACAGCCATAAAGTAAGACGGAGCGAACCACTGCGCAGTACACTCGTCCTTTAGTCAGCAAACGGATATCTCGCCTTCGCCATAAGTGACGCAGGTTGGCAAAAGCCAATCGAGCCTTCTGTATCCGTGCCGAGATTTCGTCAGTCAGCAGGCCATCGGCACTGATGAGACTCCCCAGATAAGTGAAGCGGTCTACACGTTCGACTACTTCACTCCCTATCACTAGTTCAGGTGCCGTTGCAACCCAATCTTGAAGCAACATTTTGCATTTCGAGGGGGAAAACCGCATCCCGAACATGCTCGGATTGTTGCTTATGGTAGTCAGAAGACTCTGCATTTTGTCAGCGTCTTCACCGAATAGAACTATGTCATCGGCATATTCTAGATCAGTAAGCGACTTTCCTGGTAGAAGGTCAACCCCTGAAAAATCTGACGAGCTTAATGTTAACTCTAAGAGGATGTCTATAACAAAGTTAAACAAGAATGGAGAAAGTGGACATCCCCGACGGACACCACTTGAAGTAGAGAATTCCGGTAACAGTTCGCCATAAGCCCTCACTCGACCAGTGGTGTTCGAGTAAAGAGCTTCTTTAAGGTTAATGTACTTATTTGGTACACCTTTCAATGACAGACACTGCCACAGAACCTCACGATCCACTGAGTCGAATGCCGCCTTAAGGTCCAGGAAAACAACTATTGTAGGACGCCTAAATGTGTCTATGTTCCACCACCTGTCTGAGTGTGAAGATGTGGTCTATACAGCCACGTCCAGGTCGAAAACCAGCCTGGTTTTCTCGAGTTTGCTCTTCACGAGCTTTCGTTAAGCGTCGAAGTATTACTGAGGCCAATATTTTAGATACTATATTAGTTAGACTTATTCCCCTGTCATTGTCACAAGAAGACTTTTGTCCTTTCTTATAGATTGGGACAATCAGTGATTGAGACCAGTTGGATGGGATTACGTCCAGTTCCCAGATTCTACCCAAGATCTCAGTCAATCTAGCAGATAAAACTGGACCACCATCCTTAAATATCTCAGGGGTCAGTCTATCAGGACCTGCAGCTCGTCCTCGCTTTGAGGGGACACATAGAGTGGATGCACCTGCACCATTCCAAACGACTTTGAGCCAGGTCGTCCAGTATCTTTAACCATCGGTTTATATCATTTCGCAGACCCCAACCAAGTAGTCTACATCTACCAACATAACTCAGTCCACTTGTCAATGACTTCATGGATTGCTGCCATGTTTTGTGTCTGGCCGCCGCTAACTTTCTTCCAACCTACTCCTACCCGTAACAGCATACGGGACCGAATTGGTCGAAATCAAATCCTTCCTACACACACACATATCACCAAAATTGACCTAACATCGATAGATAGATAATTAATGCGTCAAATTTACAAATACACATAAAACAGACTAGACTGACTGATAATATAACATACTGAATTTAATGAATCACGCCATTTCTGCGTGTTTTCAAAGAACCGCAGTGTACATAGAATGAAACGTTTCTTTTTAGTCTATTGTCCTTTTTAGCACAGTAGATTATGCTTTAAGACCCCGCAAAAAAAAGATTAAGAAACATTGATTTTTTAATTATTAAATAAGCAATAATAATAATAATCATATCAAAACTACTCAACATTCAAAAACAAACCTGACTTGAATTGTCACCTAATTGTTTATCATTTAGAGAACAATTTTGTTGAGTATAACGATTGATTAGAAAAACAGAGCCATTATCAGAGCCAACAGCTAACCATGTACCAGCAGGTCCACCGTGTGTAACACATGTAGGCATTCCTGACAGACTTTTCGTAGCAGATCCCGATGGTGATTCAGAGCCGGAATCGTCAGCTGAACGAGATATCTGTTCCATGAGGGTGTATTCACGAACTTTGGTTAATTCCCATTCCAAAGGTATTGGTTCATTGAGATTGTATTTTTTATCGTGCTTATTAGATGTCTTCTCCTTTGCGGTAGGTGTTGTTTTCAATTCAGAATCTTTATCCTCTTTACAATGCTTTCCTAAATCAGATATATATATTTACAAAATATACCATAAAGATAATTACTACTGAACAAAATCAAACAAATGAATAGAAATTAGTGCACGATGGTGAAATAATTGTTATAATAGTAGGAAAATACAATTGGAAAGAATTCTTTGAATTAAAGTAGTTCCTCTTACTTATGTGAAGAAATTAAAAGAAAGTTATAGTAGTGTAGTGAATGAGAACACAGGTGGGGCAACCGAATCGTATTTAACGAAAATTACAGAGTTACTCAGTAACATCGGAAAACCATATCGTAAATCGTTAATTTGCAAAATATCAGTTCATCATATCGAACTGGACTGTTCCTGTTGCAAAACATCAATCCATTGTCACTATTCATGCGTGTCATACAAATTCCATTGTTTTCTAACTCTTCCTTTCTTGATCTTCCCACATCTTCTCTTCTGCCAGACATTACGTTGTCATATACTACTTATAAGTAGCTCGCACCACAGTAGGACTGCAACTGGCTTCTTTTCTGAGACATGTCTAATAATGTCTCAAACCACTGAGTTATGCATGCCATCGCTAGCCAGTAGGTTATGAAGCATCAACAGATGCTAATTTGGTGTCATTTTCTCTCAGACCGATGCACTATGTCATACAATGACCAACTCTCCACTTTTTCCAACCAGTCCCAAACCCGGCAAATAATGCACGATGTGGAATGCGTCCGCATGACATTGGTACTACAAGTCTAAGCCACAGAAATCGGCGTTTCAACATGGTGAGACCAGATGAATTATGGTCTCTGTGCCCAAAAACACGTTGCCGAGCATTTGCATTAGTAACTTTTCTAATATCTTCAACTTAGAGAGACCAGGTTTCACAAAAATAGAGCAAAACTGCTCTTGCCGACGCATTGTAAACCCGACCTTTTTCAGGTGGGTTAACATTACGAACACGAGGAAGATGGCGCATATTTTGATAACCCACTATGGCTATCATTATACGTGAATTGATCTCATAACTCATACCGCTAAGATCACCACCACTTAAACAGCTACCCAGATACATGGAATTTTTGACTACTTCTATCTGCTCACTATCAAGAGTGGGTGCAGGTTCAGGGTCCTGTCAGTCTTGTAAGAGTACTTTGCACTTAGAAGGAAAAAGGACACACCACCATACCTGTGGAACTGTATAGTTTGGGAATCTTTGCACAATAAGACAATATCATCCGCATACTCATGATCAAAAAGCTTTTCTCCAAGTAACCGATTCACACTACTACTACCTATATCCAGCAGAGCTGTTTTCAAGACGTCAACGACGACAAAGTTTGAGAGGAATGGTGAGATTGGGCAATCCTGTCTAACCCCACTGCTAAGGTGGAACGTTAAAGAGGTGATTGTATGCCCTGACTCTGCCTCAGGTATTTGTAAATAGGGCCTTTAGGATCTTAATAAACTACTCAGGTATACCCTTCTTCAATAGACAACCCCAGAGAACAGTCCTGTCTAACGAATCGAAAGCAGAACTGATGTTAAGAAATATAATGATTGTTAGCTTGCAGTATGGAAGTCTTCGAACACTTTGCAGAGGATGAAAATATGGTCAAAACATCTTCTACTTGGAGGAAAAGCAGCCTGTTCCTTGAGTGTCGATTTTTCTCGAGTTCTGATCAATCTGCGAAGTATGATGGAAGTTAAAAAATCTGGACACAATCTGTAGTCAACTTACCCCCTGGTAGTCGTTACATAGATGACGTGAACCTTTTTCAAAGATAGGGATGACTTCGTGCAACGAAATATGCAAACATAAGGTCTATGTTTGACAGAAAATGAGTGAATCGCCGTTAATCAAGCCACCAACTTCAAGCCATATCATTTAAGGCCTCGAACAGACTATCATGAATACCAGGTTGTATCATCTGACGTCTGCTATCACGTCATATTCATAACTCAATTTGTCGACATAGTTATTTCACAACTGTATAAAAAACAAAATTAATTGATTTGGAGATAACAAGTGTTACATTCTGAAGCTTAATTAATTAAACAGTTTGTTTTATCACATTCCAGGGTATCATTTAGAATAACTAATAACCAGGTGGCGAGTATCAATCAAATAAAAAAGAGCATGGCAAATTATACCTGATCTATGACGTAGGTGTGTTTCTTCTAAGCCATCTTCAGAAGCCTTGTTTTCAACAGGTAATAACTTTTCCGAAGAGGTGACAGGATTCACTTTTGATTGTACAACATATTCTACACACTTTTGACCCTCTAAACTGGCAATAAAACCACCGTCACCAGGATTAATGACAGTCAAACTCATAACAGCTTCTGTGCCAGTGTCCAAACCACCAGATTGCTAAAATGAAGAAAAAAGGCATTATTGCAAGAAGATTACATAGAAGAGATACATGCTGCAAAATAATCTAAATGAGAAAAATTATTTGGTTGAATGAGTTGAAGTGAGAAAATGAAGCGCTGACATCAACTCCATCAGTCAGTCAGTCAGTTGCAACGTAGAAATTCGTACGTAAGTACATCAGTTCAGGTTGCCATACCACATTAGCACACAGAGACCCAAATGTCAAATCAAATCTCATAGTCATAGAGATAGTAGAGGTATTAATGGTAATGAAGAAGACTAGGGTTTGAAGATATTATTATTCAAGAAGTATAATTCAGTGAGATAAGGTACGAAGATAAAGGTAGAGGTGATGAGGAATTCAGATTAGGATTTGAGAGAGAGCACAATGAATGGGTGCACTTGCGCCATTGCAAACGACTCTGAGCCATGTCGTTCAAGGTCTCTAACCACTGGTGACTTTGGTCTCGAGGACCCCAACCAGGTAGTCTACATCTACCAACATGACTCAGTCCACTTGTCAGTGACTTCATGGATTTGTGCCATGTTTTGGTCTGGCCGCCCCTAGCTCTCTTCCAACCTACTCCTCCGACATCACAAAACATAGCTCGTCGAGGCAGTCGGTGGTTAGGCATACGTAACACATGTCCCAACCACCTCAACTCCATAAATGGGGATTTCTTACTAAAATAACAAGATTGAAATGAAAATAAATAACTCATTCATCAAGTACTTAAGTGTTAACTACATACTAAATTTGAGAACTCATGATACTGCGGTGAGTTGGTACGCCTGTCATCTTTGCTTTGTTTCGTTTATTGCCCGTCTTCCGACTATATAACCGCTACGTTAACGTGGCGATCGAGCTCGCCTACTGTCGCGATTTAATAGAACTACACTGATTAGAACACGTTTCTTTGAAGTCCTACCACACAAGGCAAGTTAGTCGGATAACAGTAAGACTAAAAGCAGCAACTCAGTGTCTGAGGGTGAAATCGTACGGCTGACTGTAGAAAGGTGTGACAGCGTTTTCTGAGATGTTGCCTATTCATAACAGGAGGGGGTTAGAAAAAATTCGACTCTAAAAATGTTGCACCTCCTTAGGACACGGTAGGACCATTTGAAAGGCGGAACTAACAAATTAAAAAATTCCGTGCGTGACCGGTCTCAAGCAGTTATCCCTGGGGTCCTGAGGTCACGCTACCAGGTCACTAAGACCAACACTAACCCAGCTTCCTTTTCAGGCAGGCCTCTCGAGAAGAAATATTCCCCATAATCTGAGCATCGAGAAAGTGACAACCACCTATATACCTCTGACGATAAAAGAAGTATCTCGTTTACGAGTGAATGCTTCCCTCATCTCTGAACAATTTTCTAAACCCCACAACTAACGCCTCTCGAATACGCCGCCTCACACCACGAATATTAATGATTCGAGTTCACGAAATGCCATTTCTGGTCTCCTGCAAATCGTCTTTTAACTTTATGTTGAAGCTCTTAACATTCTAATTTTGTACTCGATAGGACAACAGGCTTTTATAGCTAGGGCTCCAGGATCTCGCACAACTGACGTATGCTGCATGTCCCAAATTTACACACAGGATTCAACCAAAGCGATTAACTTGACTTCACTTTCTCAAGACGATGAATCAGTGCGATTTACACTTCATGTATCTGAAGACCCCGTTTGGCTCTGAATGGAATGGCGTTAGCTCGAACACAGGATTATAAAAGGTCTATGCGATGACTATTGGTGGTGGGTGGCGACAGCGAAAGATGGAAAAGGCAGCGACGATGAATACCTGTTGCTTTTTCAAAATCCAGGAGATTGGACCAAGGAGTCGTTAAAAATCTCTCTTATACGATTCAGTTAATCTTATTGCTTAGTATTCTTCAGACATTGTCCAAAGCTAAACAGGTCACCAAAATCAGAATGCGTCTTGAACAAGTAGGTAATCATATTCTGACTAAATAAGTCTCATAAGAACGAATCGTAGTAACGAGAACGTTAATTTATCTATAATTTTTGCACAAAAATATTCCTGAACCTTGTACATCTACCCACTAGCACCTATTAGCCATGTTTTGCGATGAAGGAATAGGTTGGGAGAAACCTATGGGCGGCTAAAAAAATACGGCACAAGTCCTTAAAGTCACTGACAACTAGAATGAGTCATGTTGGTAGATGCCAACTACCTAGTTCAGGCCCGCGAGATGATAGTAATCGATGGTCAGAAACCTTGGACGACATGGTTCAAAACCGTTTGTAATGGCGCAGGAGCATTCATTCTTTGTCTTCTGTCAAATCCTAATCCTCTAGATTCCTCATCGACAACTTTTCCGACGTATCAAGGAAACTGGTATTAGGAATCCTAGTGTAAGTGAGACTATCTCAAAAAATGACGGGACTATTATTCATTCTCAATCCAGGAGACTGGATCGATGGGCAGAACACTTTAGGGATCAGTTCAACTGGCCTCGAGCCACTCTTCGGTTACCCACGATCTCCAGTCATCCTGAATGGCAAATCGACGTAAGTCCCCCTAGTCTTAATGAAGTTGAAAAAGCTTTAGGAAATCTGAAGCGAGGACGAGCTGCAGGTCCTGATAGACTGACCCCTGAGATATTTAAGGATGGTGGTCCAGTTTTAGCAGCTAGATTGACTGAGATCTTAGTTGGAATCTGGGAACTGGACGTAATCCCATCCGACTGGTCTCAATCACTGATTGTCCCAATCTATAAGAAAGGACACAAGTCTTCTTGTGACAATGACAGGGGAATAAGTCTAACTAATATAGTATCTAAAATATTGGCCTCAGTAATACTTCGACGCTTAACGAAAGCTCGTGAAGAGCAGACTCGAGAAAACCAGGCTGGTTTTCGACCTGGACGTGGCTGTATAGACCACATTTTCACACTTCGACAGGTCTTGGAACACAGACACACATTTAGGCGTCCTACAATAGTTGTTTTCCTAGACCTTAAGGCGGCATTTGACTCAGTGGATCGTGAGGTTCTGTGGCAGTGTCTGTCATTGAAAGGTGTACCAAATAAATACATTAACCTCATACAAGCTCTCTACTCAAACACCACTGGTCGAGTGAGAGCTTATGGCGAACTGTCACCGGAATTCTCTACATCAAGTGGTGTCCGTCAGGGATGTCCACTCTCTCCATTCTTGTTTAATTTTATCATAGACATGCTCCTAGAAATAACCCTATCCTCGTCTGAATTTTCAGGAGTAGACCTTTTACCAGGTGGCTCGCTTATTGACTTAGAATATGCCGATGACATTGTCCTACTTGGTGAAGACGCTGACAAAATGCAGAGTCTTCTGACTACCATAAGCAACAATGCAAGCATGTTCGGGATGCGGTTTTCCCCCTCGAAATGCAAAATGTTGCTTCAAGATTGGGTTGCAACGGCACCTGAACTAGTGATAGGGAGTGAAGTAGTCGAACGTGTAGACCGCTTCACTTATCTGGGGAGTCTCATCAGTGCCGATGGCCTGCTGACTGACGAAATCTCGGCACGGATACAGAAGGCTCGATTGGCTTTTGCCAACCTGCGTCACTTATGGCGTAGGCGAGATATCCGTTTGCTGACTAAAGGACGAGTGTACTGCGCAGTGGTTCGCTCCGTCTTACTTTATGGCTGTGAAACATGGCCAATGAGAGTAGAAGATACTCGTCGGTTATTGGTTTTCGATCATAGATGTCTTCGAAGCATTGCTCGTATATCGTGGGACAACCGAGTGAGCAACGCTGTTATTAGGAAACGGGTACTAGGTAAGAATGGCAGATCAATAGATGAAGTGGTGAAACTTCATCAGTTGAGGTGGTTGGGACACGTGTTGCGTATGCCTAACCAGCGACTCCCTCGTAGAGCTTTGTTTTGTAATGTAGGAATAGGTTGGAAGAAAGCTAGGGGCGGCCAGACCAAAACATGGCAGAAATCCATGAAGTCATTGACGAGTGGACTTAGCCATGTCGGTAATTGTCGACTACCTGGTTGGGGTCCGCGAGATGATAATAATCGATGGCTAGAGACCTTGAATGACATGGCTCAAAATCGTTCGCAATGGCGCCAGTGCATTTATTCTTTGTGTTCTCTCAAATCCTAATCTTCTGAGTTCTTCAACACCTCTAGTTTTTACTTTCTAAACTTATCTCATTTAATCATACTTCTTGAATAATATCTTCTCATCCTAACCTCTCCGATTACTTCTAATACCTTTACTACCTCTTCTACTATTGGATTTGAATTGACAATTATATCTCTGTGTTGATGTGGTATGGCGACATGAACTGATGTACTTACGTACGAAGTTCTACGTTGCAACTGACTGACTGACTGACTGAGATTCCTCATCACCTCTATCTTCCAGAGGTTTAGGATTTGAGAGAAGACAAAGGATGAATGCACCTGCACCATTACAAACAGTTTTGAGCCATGTCGTTCAAGGTCTCTAACCATCGATTACTATCGTTTCGCGGACACCAACCTGGTAGGCTAGATCTACCAATATGACTGAATCCAGTTGTCAGTGACTCCATGGATTTTTGCCATATTTTGGTCTGGCATCACCTTAAGCATAGTTATTAATAAATGCCAGATAAGAATCAATATTGTAACATATTTAGAGTATGTTATTGTGGATTATTCAATCTTTATCTTAGTGTAGAAACATTAACTTAGGAAAATACTATATGTAGGAATGTCATGATAGCCATGTACCTGCTGACCCCTTGTTATTCTTACAAGCAAACTGAGAAGCCAGATCTTTATAAGTAACCTAACACCAAAGTGAGTTGACTAAATTCTGACAAGTAGGATACTTATTTCAATTCCAACAGGGCCACAATTCAGGAGCCAACCAGTATGAGGTCGAAACCAAAGGATGAACAGAATTCCAGTGAAGCATAAATTTATAACTAAAAAGTCAACGCTGAAAACCTACTACCTGGTGTAATTCAGGCACTGATACACTGAGAGAACGAGAGAAAAACTATGTGCATTAGCCTTGAGAATTTGTATTTCGGTATGAAACACCACCGAAATTATTGTGTAAGCCAAGTATTCAAAAGCCCATTAATGGAAATAGTTGTGCGAAAAGGATTATATTTTTTAGGCAGGTGAAGGTATAAAAGTAGAGATTAAGGATAAGGACAAAGGCGAAACTGTGTACATATAGATATAATATGTGGGATATGATGATTAAGTTGTCTAAAGCACCGTTATTTTATCAAATAAGCTTTTCAACTACTTAATATATACCAACGAAAGAATAAAATAACAGGAATACTGAAGACGTTGTTTCAGGTTAATAAATCTCAATAATTTAAACGAAACCAGTTTAAAATACATGACTGTACCTGTACGTCGACAGGAGTAGGGGCATCTTGACTATTGCGGTAGAGATTGATGATATCTATCCGATTAGGAACACCTGTTTTTACTGCACCACCACCACCAGCTACAACCAAAGAGTTCCGATCAAGAACGTCAACAACATATAAAGGATAGGGAAATCCGAGACCGCTAAAGCAAGTTGTTTTAGATCCCATCAAATTTATGTACAAATCAATGATCTTAAGTCGATATCTGTCTCGGAAACACAGGCACAACCAAGTTTGCAGTCGTGTCACCAAGCCCAAACTACGCGCGTTTCGATCCTAGGGATGCGCGGGATCAGGTACTTCCCAATCTTCAATCTTCTGTTACAAAAAACAGAAAGAGTGTATCAAAATCTTTAATAAAGCAATAAAACCTGATAATTGAATCATTCATTCCTTCTTAACCCTTGAACAGGAAATAACAATGAATTTACCAGCAGGTTTAGCGGCAGTTACAGTCAACGAAAATAGTATTAACTGACTTATAAAAAAGACTCCCATGACTATTATAGCCGAACTTACGAACATTTTTATAGTGAATACGCTCGAAAAACTCAAAAACCTCATGCTTTTGTCGGAAGGAATTGTGAATTATCAGTTTCCTGGGATCTGTGGTGGTAGAGAGGCAGTCTTGGTTAAAGAAATCCATAACTCATGTTATGTTCCCTCTGGGTCTCTAGAAGATTCAGTCATGCAACTGTAAACACTAACTACATGTGATTAGCGGGCTGGGCTGATTACCAATGCTTGTTAGACGTTTCGAACACAATCGGTCCCAAACATTTTTAACACCTATTTATTGAAGTAGACAGTTTAACCAGATGAGCTATAACATGCCTCATTGATGGTATATCAGAATCCATAAACCCATACTTTCTTGATTGTTGGATATCTAACTACAGAGACCCATTAATCAATTTCAGTCTATTCTGTCTAGAAAATTTACTAAATTCTTAATAGCACATTGCATAAAGACATTAGCGTACCACGCTACAGTGAATGGCTCCGTTGGATGGTTCCATTACCAAGTAAAATAGCCACCTCCATCACAGGTTGATACAAGTAACTTGGAAAGAACAAGACCTTCACGATCGATACATTAAGTCTGGACAGCCAACATGAACAGAAAAATGTCAGCTCAACTTCTCTTAACAGTAAGTCCAAAGAATAACAGCAAACAAAATGTAATCATACGTTGTCAGCATATACCTGCACGATGGCAGTTATACCCAAACTCATGCTTTGCCAGTCCGCAACTTCAGATTTGCGTCAAATCCAACTTTCATATCACTGATGCTGCCTAGATATGTAAGGGTTTCTACATCATCCGAAGCATCTTCATCAAGTGTGATTTGACTGGCACATGTTGTTTCGTATCGAAGGGTCTTGCTATTTTTGCATATATTGAGACCTGCTGCCGCAGAATTCCGTTACACTGACTGTCTTGTCCAGCAGCTGTTGTTATGTGTGAAATACAAGGGCTAGATCGTTTGCAAAGTCCTTCAGAATTGATCTACCCATTTATCTCGTTGTTCTACAATGTCTGCGATGACCTTGCCCTCGCTGATTTATGATGGTCGTTCTGGTTTACCATATTTACCTGCAATCTTATCATTGTGTTATATAGTAGTCTCACGATTCCTTCTCCTGAAGCTTCGTATGCTTTCGTTGCTAGATCGCACACAATTTTACGTTTGTCTGTTCTGGTGCTCCCCTTCAACTACTGGTTGGTTTGTATGAATTTAGTTTGTGCCTCAGCTCCCTCCGCTCTTGTTCAGGTGATGTTGATTGTTACCTCCTTGTGTAGAATTCTTTTTGAATGTTTTGTGTTTTTGGAAAATCCCTCCATGTTTACATATTTTTGCTATGACATGATGGACTTTTTCTCTTGACATTTTTGGTATTTTATTTGATTCCAATTTGAGATTTTATCATTGTATATTGTTATTCTTTCTATATTTGTACTTATATTGAAGTTTTTGGGTTTGCTTCTGAACTGTACATATATTGTTTAAATTTGATATAATATGGCTACCGCCACATTTTCGGACGGACGCAGTGGCTGCTGGACTTAGCTTCACTTATCGGCTATTGTGTTGGATACTCTGCGGAGTAACTTAACCCTGGAAGAAACACAAATTCCGTAAGGCTTTGTATTTCCATTTTCTAATAATACAGAGACGTTTTCTCCTAGAATTTTGTCCTTTTTTGAGTTGGTTGGGACCCGGAACTAGGAAAAGCGTACAGGAGTGTTTCTATTGGAAACAATTGGGACGGCCACTGTCGAAATAAATCTACAGTCTGGAATTTGTGCCTTCAAGGATTATACTTTGGAATTATTCATCTGAACGTGTATATTTTGGAACTATTCGGATTATTAAGAATTATAAAGAAACATTTGGAATTTTAATCGTTTATCACACTAGACTTCCGTGGAGGAAGAAGTTGGATTATATATCGTAATTTTGAACTGAACTGTGGAATTACTATATTTTGTATCTGTTACCTTTTCTATTGAACTTTATTTATAATGTCAAGCAGAAAAAAATCACACATGAGGAGGGTGGAAGAGCTCGACGGATCACAGGGCTCTAGGCAAGTCGTTAATGATAACTTTTTTATGGGTAACCCACATGCTATGTCTGATATTTATTATTGTAAGTCATCGATAGAGGGTTTAGAACTACCTAAGGTTGAACTCTCATTTCTTGATGGAAGGTCTCGCGACTATTTTAGGTTCATACGACAAATAGAGACGTTTATGGAACCCCGAATAAAGGACGATCAAGTTCGTTTATTGTATTTAATTCATTATTGTAAGGGAAAAGCAAAAAATGTGATTGAAGGCTGTATTATTATGGATCCACAATCAGGAGAGAGCTAAGGCCATTCTATAACAGCTCTTTGGACAGTCGCATGTAATAGCGCGAGAAACCTTAGAGGACTTATTTAGAACTGGGAATGTAGAATTTAATGATCCTGAATCATTGACGAACTTGGCTATTAAAATGCAGAATGCTGCTTTAACTTTAGAACAGCTCAATTGCTCAACGGAACTTAATTCCATGGATACTTTAGAACGAATAGTCAGGCTCTTACCTCGTCGAATGCAAGCCCAGTGGGCAGAGCTAGTAATCAAGTGGGACGAAGAGGAGAGAGAGCCTAGTTTCAATGAATTGACGGAATTTATTATGTCTCGTGCTAAGATAGCTAGTAGTAGGTTTGGAGGATTAGCTTATCAGGCTAAAACAGGAAATAATACGGAAGCTACTAGTGGTCTGCGTGCGAGACATTCGGATTTTTCGTTTCTACCTAAAACACGCTCGGAAGATAAGAGATTTGTCAATTATATCACGAAAGCATACGCTGATGAAGGACGAGTATGTGACCGTAACGATGTAAAGCCTCTTGATGCGTGTCCTAGCAAGAAGCCGGTTGGTGTAACAGATAAAATGGCTTTTCTAAGTATAGAAAAGAAAGAAAAAGGTGAAAAGTGTAGGCATCAAGATGGATCCGAAGTGTGTGATGATAAAAGCCTCTTAGCTGCTCGAAAAGCCTGGAATGGTTATTTGGATTCGAGTAAACAGAGGTTGATGAGTTCAGCAAATATGAATAAGACCCAGGCAGGATTGACTGAACGGAATAAAGCTTATTTTCGGAACTCTTCAGTTAGGGTAAATTATATAACTGGACCTAGAGTAGATTCTAGGATAAGTGATGGTGGTACAGTAACGGCTAAGAAGCCTAGGAGACAACATGCTGCTACTATTACTAAGAAGCCTAAACCTCATGCTCTCTCGGATGCTACGACTAGCCATGGAAATAGTAGCCATCAGAACCTTAGTAGTGACAGTGATAATAAGGAGATAGAAAGTGTCAGCAGTTCACTTATAGGGACTAGTTTATCAACTTCATCGAATGAGCCTCCTAGTGTTTCGACGCCATCGGACCTCGTCACGAAGGTTAAGTTGATTGAAGATGCACAAGGTTGTGCAACTGTAACTGTTCCTATTACGGTTGACTGTCAGTCGAGTGACGATGAGAAGAAAGTGTTTGATGGTAACAGCCAGTCTACAGTGCTGTGTGATGACGATGCTATTGTTGAGCATATGTCTTGTGCCGCGGAAACGGATGCTAATGCAGAACGGAATCATTTAGACGTTGATAATAAACTGGATGTCACTGATGTGACAAATGAGTTACCGACGATGATGAATACTGTTCAAACCTCCTCTGCATCAGGAGATGGAAGGATAAATATTGATCCTACGTCATGCTACTTAAAGTCTTCTGGAGACGATGAAATGTCAAAATTGGAGATCCCACCCTTGCATATTATTTATGGGTCAAAAACTTCTGTTGATAAGTTAGCATCACGGACTTCATGGTATCTGCTGATCGGAGCAAGTGGTGGTGGATTGGCGACTCGTCCCCATGATAGAGAATGTAGTCTTCGAATAGGATATGACCAGTTTTCCGATGTGTTGTTCATGTTCGTGTGGGTTAATTGGGTTAGGTTTATACTACCGTTAGGTCATTCCACGATAGATAGGGGAATCAAGGGCCTGATGGGAAAGTGTAGGTACCTAGTTAACACGGTAGGTCATATCCATGTTGGATGGCGGGTAGGCGTACTGCTGTAAGTCCTACACGTTATTCCGGTGTGGATTAGGGGATAACGGGGAACCCTAAATAAAGTGTCATTAACGCTTGCTCTTTTTGCATGGAGGGATTTTGCGGGCCGGTGTAGAATTCTTTTTGAATGTTTTGTGTTTTTGGAAAATCCCTCCATGTTTACATATTTTTGCTATGACATGATGGACTTTTTCTCTTGACATTTTTGGTATTTTATTTGATTCCAATTTGAGATTTTATCATTGTATATTGTTATTCTTTCTATATTTGTACTTATATTGAAGTTTTTGGGTTTGCTTCTGAACTGTACATATATTGTTTAAATTTGATATAATATGGCTACCGCCACATTTTCGGACGGACGCAGTGGCTGCTGGACTTAGCTTCACTTATCGGCTATTGTGTTGGATACTCTGCGGAGTAACTTAACCCTGGAAGAAACACAAATTCCGTAAGGCTTTGTATTTCCATTTTCTAATAATACAGAGACGTTTTCTCCTAGAATTTTGTCCTTTTTTGAGTCGGTTGGGACCCGGAACTAGGAAAAGCGTACAGGAGTGTTTCTATTGGAAACAATTGGGACGGCCACTGTCGAAATAAATCTACACCTTGTTTCTCCTTTCTTGAATCGCATTCAGGAAACCAACC